GACGGTTGTGTCTTTCTGGCGATTAGAATTTACAATGTCTCAACTACTCTCATGAGTCTACTCTTCCACCACAGTTCAACCTAAATGCAAGATGGCTATGTTCTTCATTTGCCGCATACTTCAAAAAAGAGATGCAATGTCCCCTGTTTCTCGATAATTTATTACAAACTAGAAATATTAAATAAAAATTGAACTCTCATGTGATTATGGATCATTTCTATCTCGAAATAAATTTATTAAAAAACTAGATTTAAATATCTATCAATGATACTAATTATGTATTAGAAATATTAATATTTTTTAATATATATTTAATCAAAGTTGTTTCTCGAAAAGCAAAAACGACATATATTTATGGACGGAGGACGAAGGGAGTAATAGCCGACAAATCCATCTGAAAAGGAACGATTCGCCACTGAATCAGTTTACTTTGAGTAGTCATATCGGTGTTTACTTTATCTGATATCCTTGGTTGGTAGAAGACTATGCCGACTTGAACATATCACCTTCCTTTGTTAGGGCTAGCCAAATTATGTCTTAATAGTCAGCTGAAGTCAGAGCTTAAAGTATTTTTTCTACTTCGTTTTGGTCAACCACTGGTGTCTCTGCGTGCTCTAAATTACTTTGTGTATTTTTGCACAGGTCACGTACTGCTGATGCTCCTCTCGAACGATTGAAAATCTTGCTTCCGCTGAATTCCCTGTTCAGATGAATTTTCCTAGGATCTTTTTAATGTCTCAAATCAGCAGTGTATGGTTGACTGAGGACTGCTATATAACAAGTTAGCAACCTGTTTTGTTCAGCCTGGCCTACAGTTCCTCTACACTATGCTCGATCTCCACGGCGTAAAAAGGATACTAGCGTGAGGAAACCCTACTGCCCGGCCAGGAAAACGTCCTGTCTTTCTATTTTGGTCGGTGTCTAGTACTCCCTCCATCCCTAGATGTGTGTCATCACGATTTGCGTGTCGATAATTTTGACTCGATTTATAGAAAATGCGTGCAACATTTCTATCTCAAAATAAATTTATTAAAAAACTAGATTTAAATATCTATCAATGATACTAATTATGTATTAGAAATATTAATATTTTTTAATATATATTTAATCAAAGTTGTTTCTCGGAAAGCTTACGATAGATATTTATGGACGGAGGACTGTAATAGCACAAATCCATCTGAAAAGGAACGATTACACAAATAGTTTACTTATAGTCATATCGGTGTTTACTTTAATTTTGATGCAAGAAGACTATGGCCCTTACATAAATAACATAATGTGAAGATCATTGTTGTGAGAGAAAAATACTGCTCTTGGTACTTCACAATGTCTACCACCCAGAGAGATACACGTGATGCGCTTGAACATATATTCACTAAAATTATGTCTTAATAGTCAAAGTATGCTTTTTTTTTCTATTACTTGTATACAACACTTTCTGGTGTCTTTTTTGATTTCTTATATATGTCTCCTCTCGAACGATTGAAAATCTTGCCCACTTTAGATGAGGCCTAGGATCTTTTTAATGTCTCAAATAGGGAGGAAAGAAGGACATATATAACAAGTTAGCAACCTGTTTTGTTCAGCCTGAGATGTCCACACTATGAACAAAGGGAAGAGATGAAGAGAGGAAGAACGTGAGTACAATTTCAGTGACTGTTTCTAGTACAAGCACGGAGAAAAGCTTACATCCCAAATATGTAGTAGCACTTCCTGCGCTTTGATTGAAACAATGCCAATATCATCACCCATGGGTATTAAATCTCTTTGATACTTACATTTACACCATTAACCCTGATGATTTAATCCCATCCCATGCTCAACCATTGTGCAAACGAAACATAGAAAATGGATTCGCAAGATGTCCAGCAACAAAGGGAAGAGATGAGGCCGTGAGTACAGACTTGCTACAAGCACGGAAGAATCATAGCCATGTTGGCATTGCTAAATATCATCACCCATGGGTAAAAATCTCTTCAAACATGGGTTTAACAATTATTTGAAAAGGTTCACACATGGGTCAACAATTATTTAGACGCTGATATGGTAAGCTTGACCACAAGATCTTATATATGCTATTTTTTGTTGATTGAAACATGTAGAAAAAATAGATAAAACTCTATTTCTGCAGGTGTTCCTTCCAATTAATATTGTGAAGTTTCATTGGTACCTAGCAGTTGTGAATGCTTCGGAAGGTGAGATACATGTTTTGGATTCTTTCGGAGAAAATATGTCAAACTGGCAAGATCTCGACTATATGGTGTGGCTTAATGATATATATATATACATATTATTTTTAAAAAAATCGTTAATATCCCTTTTCTAAATCTTGGTGTTTGGGTCATAGCAGTTAATAGGAATGGATAGACTAATAAAACGTGCAGCAGAGCATACATAGCTGAACCCAAAAAATAGGTAAAGAATATCGAAGTGGCATCTTGGCAAAAAATACATAAGATCATAAAAAAAAGTGCAAACAGATGGGTCAAAGATCATCTAACTTGTCGTGTATATGCCATTGCCGTACCAGCAACGGTATCTATATCATTCATATTTTATTTTTTCAATATTGCACAGTGTAAGTTGTGGTTTATAGATGATTAATTTTATGGAGTATTGAACCGGAACTACTTTTATCTGACCATGTGACCCATGTAATTTTATAGGAATATTTCTAAATATAGTCATTTTTTGGACTGGTTACTATATCAGGACTTCCTCATATTTTTAGGATGATATAAATAACTTTAGGGTCAACCTACCTACGATCTGATCTTGTATAACTCCCCGTTAAACATAGCGAGAGGGTTACATAGTAGAGAATATCTAATTTAGTGTACAATAGCATGGACAAACAAGAAAGACCTATTGCCTATAATTTGAGCAAACATCCATTTGATGGCCGATGAACCTTTGGAGTAAGTCATTCTTAAGAAAATTGTTTTGTTCTAATTTAGATATTTCCATTATCCGTGCTAGAATAAGTAATTTGTTCCTTGTCCTTGTTTTTTAGCAAAGAGTGGGTCCTAGAAAAAATTAGAGATATTTTAGATGAGAATAGAGAGATGGATCATGATCTTTAGGCCCCGTTTAGTTCGAAAAAAAAACAAAAATAGATTTCTCGATATTTTAGATGAGTACTAAATGTAGACGAAAAAAAACTAATTACATAGTTTAGAGATGGATCATGATTGTCCTTTTTTTACCAAATAAAAACGAAAGGCTGTTCGGGCCTTAATATGGCTATTCGGATGGCTGCGTGGAATGAACCCTTGTTGTTCAAGAAACAAAAATACCACTTCATGGACCTCCATTTGCTGTAAGTTGATCTAACTCTTAATTGTATAATTCATCAAATAATTATAATATCTATAATTGTATAATTAATCAATTTATAAATTTTGCAAAATCAATCGTCTATAACTCAATTTGGATGAGATCCGCGATATTGTGACAAGCTAGACCACAAGAAACGGCAAAAGTGCCAGGAGTACAAAATTAAAGATTGTAGCAATATAAGATATGTTCTCTGTACTCCTTTATATTTTATATTATATTTTATTTAGCACGTGTGTATGTTTTTAGATTCTACTGTCATATTATCGAGATAGACTATACACTTTATTTATAATGGACATGCAAAACAAAATTGTGCACATTATGGACCCACTCCTAGATGATATGATCAAAGCATGCCATATATAGCTACATTTCACACTATTACTAAAAGGTTCAGACTCGTCATGAAACTAATAAATTCTAAGTGGAACGACAATATTTGTTACTGGAAGCTAGAATTCTCTACATGTGTTCCAAAAGTTCTAAAAAATAAAGACCGATAATCATTTTATAATATGTTTCATATTTCTTATCACAAAATAATTATTTAATTTATGCAGAACAAATAAACAAAATGCTCTTCTCCAAAAATTTGGGAGGCTTCCTTGTATACTATTTTATGAATTCATGGGATGGTGTAAGATTGTCATCGATCAACACTGTAAGCATATATTCTCTAACTATATTTTGTACACTATATAGAAAATTAATAACTTAACTTATTATCTGCCATGCACAACTATCAACTTCACTGAGGATGGAATTCTTGTTGGACGTTCTAAAGAGCTGTGCAAACGAATGTTTTGACAGCTTCCGTGAAGATCTCCAGGTCATGATGAATGACTTAGGTAAAATGTAACTTAGATGGTTAATATGAGAAATAACTTTACTTTAACTTCTTATGCAAAAGTATTTCCCGTATTGTATATATGCTCAAATATAATTGTGTAAAAGTTGAATTATGAAAAAAAAATATTGGTTGTTTTCAATAGCATCCCAAGATAAAACTGTGACGTTAGCACGAGCATTATATTTGTCATTATAAAGGACGATTAAGTCTATCATGATACAAATTGATAAATTGTCTTTTTCTGTTAGTACCTTTTGTTTTCCTTTCCTTTTTCCGTTCTTCTCAGGGAAATGTTGATGCAAAAATTTCGTGCTGATCTTGTATAGTCGGCGATCAACATCTTGTCCCACAGCCAAATGCTGATGCAAAAATCGTCGCGTTTCAAATTTCAAATCTCGATCTTGTATAGTCGCCGATCAACATCTTTGCCCTTGTTTAGTTGGGTGAATTTGGATTTTGGGGGTCAGAAGACGCGTTCGCGCCGATCAACATCTTTGGTCCTCATTTCCCCAATTTCCCACCAAACTGTATAATTAGTTTTTATATTTTCGTCTCACATTTAATCTCTCCACGCACGCAGCCAAAACATTCGATGTGGCGAGATCTTATCAACTGAACACGGCGTTTGTCCTTCTCATTTTCCGTTTTTCTCAGGGGGTTTCTGGTGCCGTCCGCCCACACGCGCCCACGGAGCAACCCGAGTGCTGCCAAACCGGACCGCGTCGGGCCACCCTGTTCCGTCCAGAGCCCCGTTTCACTCACTGCTCCACGCGCCCGCCCCGAGAGCACCCGATCCACCACCGCGGCCGGGATGAGCGACGCCGGCGGCGACGGGGTCTCCTCTGCGGCGGCCGCCGGGAGGCGGATCCCGCCCGCCTCGTCCATGCCGTGGGTCCGCAACCTCCGCCGCTTCGTCGGCACGGGCGCCGGCCTCGGATCCGAGGCCCTCATGGGTCAGTGCCTCTCGCCTCTGTTCCTCCCTTAGCCAGCCCCCCCGGCCTCCGCGCTAGGCTAGGCTCGGTGGGAGCTCCGCGCTTTGGATTCGAGGTGGTGGTGGTTAGGTGCTAGGACTAGGGTTTACATCCGCCCCAGTTTGAAATGCGTGTGTTATGGTGATGTAATGCAGCCACACGGGTACCTGAAAAAGTTGGATGCTGATTTGCAGCTGTTGATTTTGGTGACGATTCATTGGGGGAAGAGAATGGTGCTCTCTGAAGAGGTAGTGACGTTTAGGGAGGCTATAGATTTTGGATATGTGCTGTTTGAGTTTGCACCTATACTCAGTAATTCGATGATATGGGGATACCTGTAATCAGGACAGTGGGCTGAGTGCTAGTACTCTGTCACTGCACCTGTACGAAGAACTAGCACCCTTTTTCTTTTGTAGTTTATCACAATTAGTGAATTAAAGTAGTTTGGTAGTTCCTTGCTCACGGGTGCAGGAAAGTGATACAAAAAAACCAGCATGTTCTCTTTGGAAACAAGCTTAAAATAAAATGGTACATTAGACTCTGGTGGTTCTTTTGTTATCAACATATACATTTCGCACTACACTCATGATTTGTTCTATACGCACAATTTGCAGAACTGGAGACTAAAAGGATATTGCTTGAGATTTTCAAGGAGCGCCAGCGGAAGAGTGCTGAAGCTGGTTCCATCCCAAGTTTTTACAAGAAGGTGCATGATTCAGTTTGCTGACTGTTCTTGTCCTTTTATATTTGTACTCTTAAGATGAAACTTACAGCTTAACTAAAACACAACAGTTGGAGCTCTAGCTACCTCAATAGAGGGTAGAAATTTCTTTTGGGTTCCCTCAGTAATTACACTTGGTTCTATTTTGTAGAATCTAACACCTTAGTTGTGGATACTAAACTAGTCTCCATCTTGTGTTCAGAAACCTGAAGAAGGATCCATTAGCTCTAGAGTTCAGAGGTTGGCCAAGTACAGGTTTCTAAAGGTAACATCAGCTAGTGACATGCTAAGCTTTATTTCGTTGGTATTTTCCTTTTCATGATTTGTGCTTTATGGGAGCTTTTCAAAACCAATTACAGAAACAATCAGAGCTGCTGCTGAATGCTGATGATCTTGATGCCATGTGGGTTTGTCTCAGAGAAAATTGTGTTATTGATGACGCTACTGGTGCTGAAAAGGTATGATTCTTTTTTGATACAGGTATTTTGCACCGCATCCATTTGTAAACTCTTAGCTCTTGTTGCATGTTTGAATACCGGCATACTAGTTTTGTTCTGGCCTCACCAGCTCACCGCTAACAGCTACATGTGTGATCTCCATTTATGTTTGTTTAGCTGTTTATGTAGCACTGTTTTTATTATTATATCTCCCTTTCTTACTTCTTTCTGGAATACTGCAGATGAATTATGAAGATTTCTGCCATATTGCCACAGTCTGCACGGAGCAGATTGGTCAGAAATGCAAACGTTTCTTCAGCCCTTCAAACTTCATGAAGTTTGAGAAGGATGATTCTGGGAGGATTGCTATCCTACCATTTTATCTTTATGTTATGCGAACAGTGAGTTATTTTTATTCAAGAAAGAGTAGTTAAAATTGCTAGCTAGTTTTGTCCCACATGCTTCATTTTTATCTAATAAATTGTGGGTTCGTTAAAACCCACATTGCCAGCGATTCCATTCTATATTCGGATCTGAAGAATTTTGCTCCATTACTTATTCTGTTTCGTTATTTATACCAAGTTTGTCTAAATAACTGTCAGGCTAGACCTTAGAATCTAATTGCGCAAATTATGGTGCTATATACTGATCATTTGCTTACTGGTGCTTCTGCAGGTTTCTCTTACTCAAGCAAGAATTGATATGAGTGAGCTTGATGAGGATTCTGATGGTTTCCTTCAGCCTCATGTAAGGACACCCAGGACATGTCGATGATACTTTGCGCCTTAGAAGTGTTTTTTATGCCCTAATTGTTCTTGTAGGAAATGGATGCATGTATTAGAGGACTCACTCATTTATTTTCATAGGAAATGGAAGCATATATTAGAGGACTCATCCCCAATTTGGCACAATTGCGTGACATGCCCACTGCATTTGTTCAGATGTACTGCCGCATAGCTGCACGCAAGTTCTTTTTCTTCTGCGATCCACACAGACGGGGTATTAAAAAAAAGAACTAGACTTATACAGTGGATTTATATCTAAAACAACATTCTGAGATTAATTGCCTATGCTGCATTATACTGTTTATGCTTGCAGGGAAAGCATGCATAAAGAAAGTGTTGCTGAGTAATTGTCTTCAGGAGCTAATGGAACTGCATCAGGTATTTTTTAAATATATTTTTGCACTGTTCAATGTGGTGAACTTGAGAATCTTGGTATTTCTATAGTGTAATGTTACTGCATACTCGAATTGCACAAGGTTTTGGGGATTTGTCCATTTTGATGATTATAATCACTTGTATTTTCAGGAGAGTGAGGAAGAGGTAACCGATGCTGAGCAGGCAGAAAATTGGTTTTCCTTAACTTCAGCTCAGCGCATATGTGGTATGTCGGCTGGAATTCTCGTAAATAGTTGTTTTGCCCTGTGGATTTGAAATGTATCATCTACCTACCATTCTAATGTGGTGTATGGTCTGTGTTTGATTTTTACCTCATGCCTGTACAGACATGTTTCTTGCACTGGATAAGGATACGAATGGTACACTGAGCAAACAAGAGCTCAAGGAATATGCAGATGGCACATTGACTGAGATTTTCATTGAAAGAGGTTAAACTCTACCACTGACATTTTTATACTTATGTTGCTGTCCCAAAACTAGTGTCTCTAGGCATAGCTCATGAACTGTCTTTGAGAGTTTGTTCATGAATACATAACAACAATGTGGTTGTGTTTTTCAGTTTTTGATGAGCATGTCCGCCGGAGCAAAGTTGGAGTTGGAAACAGTCGTGAGATGGACTTTGAAAGCTTTCTTGATTTTGTTTTGGCTCTAGAAAACAAAGATACCCCTGAAGGCTTGACATATTTATTTAGATGCGTTGATCTTAATGGAAGGGGATTCCTTACAACTGCAGATATCCATACTCTATTTAGGTATGTAATTATGTATGCACTAATTTACACTGTATTGTTAATTTGTTATTGGATTCTTATGGCTGTTTCTAGTCTGATGATAGATCTACTTGTTCATAGTCATGGACATGCAGATGCAGGCCCCCCACCTTTTCTTCTTCTGATGGCCTCTTTAAAGTGTTTTAGCATACCATTTCAAACTTATATTTGAAAATTGATACCCTTGTGATCAATCTATTTGGCTTGAAAGCAGTACCGAATGAACTTTGGTTTGACTTGCTCCATTGCGATGCTCTACTTTGTTATTTGTATTTTTGTGGAAATCTACCTGCCTAATAGTAAAAGAGGGGAAAAAGGACTGACTCTTAAACTACATGAGATTGGCTTGAAACTTACTTTCGTTGACTCAGTTGCATTACCTATTTCTGTTATTTCAAGCTGCCTAGAGGCAGCCTGTCATCATTATGGATTTACTTGTATAACAATAAAAAAAATATTGAAATTTGTGTTCAATAGTACTGTGAAGTACAAAGCTTTGGGTTCTGTTCAATTCTTATTTTGGGAAGCACCTGTACTCTGGAAGAAAAGAAAGGAGGCTGTTAGAGTTAACATTCCTACCTGATGCCATCTTCCTAGATTGAATCTGTCATTTTTTGTGCTTGCTGAACTTTTAGTCTGTTCTGCTGGCCTTAACAGGCAGTATATCAGTTGCTTCAATAGTTAATCTCTAGCCACCAGATACTGTTCTGTACTTCTGTTTTTCTCCTTTTGCACGCACAGCTACAAGGCATCCTCAATTTTATTTTCTTTTTAATTTAATTTTAGTCACCAGTTGCAAATTGCAATGTTGTTAGGCAACACGTGGGATGTGACTGACAAGTATTATCCCAGAAGGCTTGAACAGGGGCTGTTCGGTTGCTGTTTAGCTTTTATGCAATCTAACTAGCTAAATGTGTATTTACTAAATCCAGTAATATTTTACTGTGATTCGTTGATTAAAAATAGTTTCAACTAATAGCTGATACTAGAAAATGCTCAATACAACAAGTTAGTCAACTAAGATATTTGATCTCATTTTCTGATACTTTCTCATTTCTCAATAGTCTTCAAAATATGTTTTCAAGTAGTGCTCTAAATTCTTACAACACTATGCTAGCGGAGTCTTATGTATTGAACTTATCCTATGATGTGCCCCATGACATCAGTAATTTGACCATTCATGTTTCTCATGCAACCCTTTCCATGTTTACAGAGACGTACACCAGAAATGGATTGAGGGCGGGAACTATGAGCTTTGCATAGAAGATGTGAGGGATGAAATCTGGGACATGGTGAAGCCCGCAGATCCTCTCAGGATCTCGCTGTCAGATCTTCTTTCTTGCAAGCAAGGCGGGACTATCGCCAGCATGCTTATAGATGTGCGTGGCTTCTGGGCCCACGACAACAGGGAGAACCTTCTCCAGGAAGAGGAAGAGCAAGTGGAAGAGGCATGAGTTCTGTTCTCCAGCTGCCAAGTAACCGTATCCGATGCCTCAAATCGCAACATTCTTGGAACTGCCTGTACCGCGGTATCAGCCACTGTAGCTTAGCTAGTGTATTAGATCCGTCGCCACCTGTTTTCCTGAAGCTTTTGTTGTAAGTGTGCCACATTGGTCTTTGGAACTTGTTGAGGCTAGCGTGGTTTGGCCATATTGACATCTGAACACTACAGCCTTGGCAGCCTGTATGTACATCTAGATTGCACGAAGCGTGCAATCCTGACTACGGCATTACGCCTGTAAGCCTATATGTAATACACTGTGTTCAGTTCGTACATGGCTTGTGGATTGTTACTTGATTGCCTGGTTTTTTGCCATTTTTGCTGCATCGCAGAAGCTTCTGCTCGATCAGTGGTGAAGCTCTAGCCTGTTAACCGTCTGTGATCTTGAAAGCTCGACTTCCATCCATTGTCCAATTTTTTTGCTTGGTCATTATTGTTTCGTTGCTGCTTCCAAGTATGTTATTTTAATATTATTATTAAAACTAAAACTAAAATTGCTATGATTCTCTCTGAGAAGGATTTTATACTCCGTTGTTCTGTGCGAGACGGGGAGAAATAGAAACAAGAAAACTGTTGGGCCTAAATTGGCCCAGAAATAGCACGAGTCCAGTTACTGTTCCGTGGCTTTCAAATCCCCTCTCTCTACTCCCGTCCCTAGTAGTCCAGTCCACTGCGACTGTTGTGGCATCAGAACCCATCAAACACCAAAATCGCCCCGCATCAGCTCCGGTTTCAAATTCCCTCGGTAGAGCTCGCCGCCGGGGATGGAGGCGGCGCGGGAGTCCATGGCGGCGCTCCTCGACGCCGGCCTCTTCGGCCCCGCCCAAACGCTGGTACGTGTGCCGCGATCCCTTCCCTCCTTGCCCCCCATCCTCCCTGCGCTCGAATCTCTAGGGTTTCGGGGTTCGCCGGGCGCGTCTGGGGCAGGCCTAGGCCTCTCGCCTGCGGCGTGTGCGAGCGGGGTTTGGGTTGCTGCGTTGGGTGATGGAGCGAGGTTTCCGTCGCAGCAGTGATTACTCATTTATTACTCTTCTCCTTCACTTGCAGGGGTGTTTCCTTGTGTCCTCGGTGGGTGCGGGCAACGATGCTGGTATGTCCATGAAGGTGGAAAGCCTGGTAAGCTCGAGCTTCCCTGAGCAGCAGCTCTGCAAGTGGTGCTAGTTTGGTCTAACTTGTTGCTATGATTCTGTCAACTCCACTTCCTCTCTCACTTCTGATGCCACATTGCGGAAACAAAATGGGTTGATTAGTTTCTTGACTGTCCATGCACGGATTAGTTTGTTGGCAGTTAATGCACGGATTGCCCTGCACAACTACATTTCTCGATGCCAGTTCTGTTGCTTACAGGGCCCAATTTGTTTTTTTTGGGAGCTGATGTGCTTGTTGACCTACCGCGCAGGTCCAGCATGGTGATGCTTTGTATGGAGAGAAAGAATTCCGCAGGGCACTGGTACGTTTCCAAAAAGCTCATGATTGGCTTACAACAAGTTGCAGAAGTAAACACATCGATTGCTCATTTCTTTGTTTCTAATTTCCCGTTCTTCCATGGCAGAACGCGTACAAGCAAGCTATGCAATATAGTAGAAGTATCCCTAGGCAAGCAACAAGTAACGCCAGAAGTTCAGTATCTGCCACAGGCCGGTCACCTTCTCCAAATTCTTCAAATCTCTTATCATTCAATGAAAATGAGGTGTGAATGGCTGAACATGGCCCTCTTGTGTTCTCATGTTGATATCTATTATTCTATTTACGTCACAGCTAGCAAGTATCGCATTCAGTTTTGCTGTGCTGTTGCAGGTGAAGTTTAAGATTGCTCTTTGCCATTCTGCTCTATGTGAGCACCGTGAAGCACTTCATGAGGTTACTTGTTTTTCGTTTTCTTATGTCTATTCTTCATTTTCAACCTTATTATCCTGTTTCAACTTTCAAGAATACAGATAATGTGATATATATGCTTTCTGCAGATGGAAGGTATTCCTTCCAAAGTGAGAACACTGAAAATGAATATGATGTTAGGGAAGCTTTATCGAATATCAAGAAATAGCCGTACAGCTGCTGTCTGTTATAAGGAGTGCTTGAGGTATAACATATCAAAGAAATTGCTTCCTTGGAGATTGTGTTCTCCAACTTCATCGGCATAAGTTGCCCATTTTGTTCTTCTATAGCAAGTTCTTTCTAAACTTGGTTACAGAAACCACTCAACTTTTCTATGCTCACAAGACTGTCTACATCTCCATACTTCTTTTTCAGGCAATGCCCTTATGTTTTCGAAGCTATCACAGCTTTGGCGGAAATGGGGCTTTCAGCAAAGGAATTTTCTTTATTATTTCCACAAGTAAGTGTATGTTTTGTTTTCTTATAAGCTGTAAATAGGAAGTTCTGAGGGCAGATAAGTTTTAACTTTGCATGGTAGAATTCAGGACTTCTCTGTGCTTCATTTTCAGATGTCCTGGTCGTCAATTTTATTGTTTGTTTGAGCTATCAGAATCTATTCATGCTCTACATGCCTGCCAGATTTGCAACAAAACTTGATAGGCGGCTATTGTTTCCTCTAATCTATTGTACAACATTTGAGCTATCAGAGTCTATTCATGCTTTACATGCTTGCCAGATTTGCAACAAAAATTGATAGGCTATTGTTTCCTCTAATCTATACTACCAAAAAACCATCACTTTGCTTTTTATACCAAAAGATGTTGATATTGTCAATCCTGTGAGCAAGTTCTTACTTTTTCCATTGCTGAACGCTGAAATTTTCTTCTCATTTTGTACACATACCTTAGCATGATCTGACAATCACAGAACCATATCCTGTCAAACCTTTTATATTTTTTACATTTATTCTGTTTCTGTACATATAATCCATATGGACTGTTGGGTTTCATTTTTGTTTGAACACCACATATGACACATGTAAAGCTTTATAGAAACAATAATACGCATACATCAGTTTAATCAACAACCTTTTCTCTGTAAATTTTAGTCATTAGTCAGTTAAACTTCCTTGCAGGCACCAAATAGAGGAGGCAAGGTGCTGGGTGACTTTGTAGATGCACAACGTTGGTGGACTGTAAGTGAACAATGTTGAGGCATAAACATGCATAGCACTCGATGCTTAATCTTAAACATCCTTCTCTATCAAGTAACTAGATTCACAACATTGGTGGAGTGTAAGTGAACAATGTTGAGGCATAAACATTCATGCCACTCAATATTTAATCTTAAACAGCCTACTCCATCAAGTAACTAGATTCGTGGTTGCCATCTTATGTTTGATTTGCTATTAATTCTCATAAACCATTGGACTCCAAAACCACATTTTGCATATATAAATGCTAAACTCGGTTAAATTGAAACTGTATGCCAATGAAGTCATCACCTTTTTAGCTCCATGTTTTGATCACGTGTCTGATGCTTATTTTTGTGTGTTGGGGGTGGGAATGCATCTGTCCTCTTTCTGATTATGTAGATTGCATAATTTGCCACCAGTTTTGCAACTTATGTGCATGTTTATGTCTGCCTCGTTGCACCATCATTGATAAAGTGTGATAGATATGTTTCTTTCAGAACAGTACTTGTTATTGCAATTTTAAATTTAGTTATGGTTTTCACGAAACTCTGTCAACTCATCCAGAGATGTCATCATACTGCATTGTTCTTTTTATAGATTGGTTCAGATTGATTATTCACTTAAATTATATTTTTCTTGACAGCGGTATGTTGAGGCGCAGTGTTGCATTGCTTCACATGATTATAAAGGTAACATAAGTGCCCTTATGAAACATTTTATCTGAGGATTCCAACATATAGTTGAATTTTGTTGAACTTTTGAAGTAATAATTCACATTCTCATTGCGAGCTTCCATTATTATTATTGTTAGATGATAAATGATCTAGAATCAGCATTGACTCTTGGCCACTGAATGTAACTTTGTAGTTGACACTTCCTAACTTTTACTTGTATCTATTAAGCATAAACTCGTAGCTTTGAAAGTTTTTTTTACAGGGATGTCATTTCTTTATATTTATCAGTAATGGATACTCCATCTGATCCAAAATGTAAAGTCATTTTAGGATTCATTTCGGTCAAACTTGTTGGAGCTTGGCTTGTTGCGTAGAGGATAGGAATGGGAGGTGGAGGGCCTAGGCTTGAACGCCCGGTGACGGACTGGCGGCGCCGTGCTCGGCGCCGGGGTCTAGGGCTAGAACGCGAGAGCGAGAGAGCTGGAACGCCAAAGAGCGAGAGAGATTAAACTCAATCTCTGGCTAACTTTCATTAAACAAAGGTGTTCCATACTTATACTCCAAATCCTAACAACTTTCAGCTAATGCAAAGGGATAACAACCAAATGACTCATACTCCTAAACACTCGGATCTAGCAACTGAAACTTCTGGCGCGCCGTGACGATGGTGACTGTGCTCTGGCCCGCCTTGGCACCTTGGCACGGTCCACTTCTCAGCCACGGCTCTTCTTCTTCCTCTTGTACACGTTGCCCACCATAACAAAACTTCTGTATCTTTGACCATCAACAGATAAAAAAATCATGTTCACTGAAAATGTATGGTTGATGTTATTAGATTCACCACAAAAAATACTTTCATAATGTGTATTCCTTTTTATTTGATGTAGATTATTGCGTTCACATAATAACTAGGCTTACTGTTGCTTGTTTTTTATAGGTGGCCTTGACATATATCTAGAACTAATGCAACGGTTCCCCAATAATGTGCATATCTTGCTGGAAATTGCTAAGGTTTGTCTTTCTTCACTTCTCTAATCTCTATTATTGTCCTCCCTATGTGGAAGTTTTTATTAGAATATGTATGGTCTAGAATATGATAAAGTCTAGATTGAAGAGTCCCATCATGTGAAGAGTCATGTAATCATGTGAAGAGTCATGTAATCTCTATTTAAACTGTTGCTCAATGAATGGATAGTGCTAAGCCAGTTACTATCATGGTATCAGCCTGATTACGGATCCTGACTTTTCTCCTACCTCGTGTCCCTCCTCCCTCCTCCCATCCTTCCTCCTCCATGGCAGATGACGACGCCCAGGCTGCTGCCGCCTTGGCTGCAGCAATCGTCGCTGCTCTCCCTCCTCCCAACCCCGGCCCGAGCTTGGCTTCGGCTCTCGCCACGATCAATGTCAAAACTCATATCCCCTTCGCCCTCAAACTCGATCCACCCAATTATTCCACCTGGCGTGAATTATTCCTCACTCTCGCCGGAAAATTTGGTGTGCTATCTCACATCGATGGCACCCCGGCACCCGAAGCTCCCGATGCTACATGGTTGGCGATTGATTGCTCAATCCGCTCTCTCATCTACTCGTCGTCGCCCCCCCCGCGTGATGCGCCTCATCATGGAGAGCGGCGCCTCTGCCCACACCATATGGACCAAGGCGGCCAACCTCTTTCTCGACAACAAAGCATCTCACGCCATGACTCTTGAAGCCAAGTTCCGCTCTCTGTCCTAGGGCGATTTGCCGGTACTTGAATATGCTCAACGGCTCAAAGACCTCGCTGATTTGGATCAACTGGTCAGCGATCCTACCCTGGTGCTCGCCCTCCTCCGCGGCGTCAACGAGCCCCTCCGCGGCATGGCCTCCATATTGAAGACGAAGACTCCGCTGCCCTTGTTCCTTGAGGCCCAGTCGCTCCTTGCCCTGGAGGAGTTCGAGCTCCGGGCGTCCACCTCGGCTACCGCCTTCACTGCATCCAGCGGTGTCCCTGTGACTCCTCGTGCTTTTGCGTCAGCACCTACTGCTGCTTTCGCTGCACCACCTGCGCCAACGGCATCTCGTCCCCCGTCTCGCCCTTGGGGGCGCGGCAAGGGGAAGGGCAGGGGCAACAACAACAGCTGGCGTGCTCCTCGTCCATGGGCCAACCCGTGGAGTGGCTCCTTCCAAATGTGACCTATGCCTGGCCAAGGAATCTTGGGCGCTCGCCTGGTCTCTGGGATGTTTCAGCACCAACTCCGTCCTCCGCCGGCCCAGGCACATGTTGCTGCTGCTACCCAGCCGGGCTACCCCTATGGCGTCTACAATTACGGCGCCTACGGCACTCCTTCGGCTGCTGCTCCTGTTGATCCAACGGCGTCCTGGAACCAGGCTGCCTTGGCCAACGCCTTCAACACTATGACCCTACAGCAACCAGACGCTACTTGGTTCATGGACTCCGGTGCGTCCTCACATCTTTCATCATCATCTGGTAATCTCTCTTCCATCAATTCCTTCATTCCTTCCAACTCAAATATCATTGTTGGTAATGGTACCCGTTTACCCATCATGTGTTCTGGTAACACTTCGCTTCCTAACCCCATCCACCCCCTACATCTTTCCAATGTCCTTGTTTCACCCCACCTCATAGCAAATCTTGTTTCGGTTCGTCAATTCACTAAAGATAATTCTTGTTCCGTTGAATTTGACCCCTTTGGTTTATTTGTGAAGGATCTCCACACCAGGACGGTGCTCCACCGATGTGATAGTTCCGGAGACCTTTACCCACTCATTTCGACGTCCACAACTCCTCCCAGCGCCCTCCTTGCAGCAATGGAGACGACTTGGCATCGGCGGTTGGGACATCCCGGCGTCCAAGTCCTTTCACGCTTGCGCTCCAATAAGTCAATTTCTGTTACTCCTAGTACTCATGACACTTCTTTGTGCCATGCGTGTCAGCTGGGTCGTCATACTCGCTTGTCCTCCAATTCCTTGTCAAGGGCTTCCAAACCTTTCGAGTTGATTCACTGTGACTTGTGGACGTCTCCCATCATGAGCATATCCGGCTTTAAATACTATCTTGTGTGTTTGGATGATTTCACTCATTATTTCTGGACTTTTCCTCTCAAACTGAAATCTGAAACATTCACAACCTTACGCAATTTTCATAGCTATGTGCTTACTCATTTCAATTGCCATATCCAATTTGTTCAAAGCGACAATGGTCGTGAATTCGACAACAATGCTGCTCGCTCATTCTTTCTTGAACAAGGCATTCATCTTCACCTTTCTTGTCCCCAAACATCCCAACAAAACGGCAAGGCCGAACGCGTTATTCGGTCCACCAACAATATCATGCGCACCTTGCTATTTCAAGCTTCTATGCCTCCTGCCTATTGGGTTGAATCCTATTAGACATATAAATAGATATGTATAGCCTGACTTGTATTGTACTTCATATACTTGTACTCCAAGCCTTCTCGGCTATATATATGAAAGGCCACCCCCCTTATTGGGTGTGCGGTGCATTGTCTCTCTACATGGTATCATAGACCGGGCTAATTAGGGTTCCTCTCTTTCGCTGCCCTAGCCCTACCTCTCCCGGTGCCGGCCCCCCCTCCCTAGCCCGGTGCGCCGCCCTCTCGCTGTTATGGCCACCAATGGATCCTCCTCGACCGCGACCTTCGGGATCTCTGGATCCCCATCCATGCTGGCCCTGACAGATGCCCCTACTCCTGTGATCTTCTCCTACGCGACCATCAACGTGCGCCAGCACGTGCCGATCACTCTTGATCTCAAGCTGCCGAACTACACCAAGTGGTCTGCCTTCTTCACCGCTATGTGCGGCAAGTTCGGCCTACTTGGTCACATCGACGGCTCCATCCCGACACGTCCTACTGATCGCACCTGGTCGCAGCCAGACGCTTGCGTCCGGAGTTGGATGTATGGCCGCATCGACGACAGCGTCCTCGACCTCGCCATGGAACCTGAGTAGACTGCTCGTGATCTCTTTGTTGCCAGTACTAATCTGTTTCAGGCAAACCAGGAGACACGCGCCGTCGTCCTAGGTCAAGAGTTCCACTCTATGACCCAGGGTGATCCGTCCATCGACGCCACGCCCGCCAAGATGAAGCACCACGGCCGCCGCTCTCCGCGACGTTGGCCACACCGTCTCCGAGCCCCAGCTGGTCGTCAACCTTCTTCGCGGTCTCAATCCGCGCTTCGCCAACACGGCGGACATCATCGCCAATGCGTCGGTCCTTCCGTCGTTCATCTCCGCACACAACACCCTTCGGCTCAAGGAGATCCGCCTCGCCAACGACGCCAAGGTCTCCTCCGACACCGCTCTTACTGCTGTCGCCCCATCCACGACTTCAGCGACCACAGCCTGCACCTCCCCTTCCTGCCGCTCCTCGTCCTTCGTTACCAACCCCAACCGCAGGGGGGGGGCGGCAAGGGCAAGGGAGGCTATGGTGCGCGTGGAGGCAACAACAGCGGTGGCAACGGCCACCAAAGCCCACCATGGCGTCCCCTGCCTCTGGCGGGCGTCCGGCCCGGCGTCCCACCGGCGGGTCCTTGGGTCTGCATGAACCTGTGGGCTGGTCCTTCTCCGTGGGCTCCTCAACCGCAGTGGCGTCCCCCAATGGCGCCCCTGCCGCAGGCCCACACGTCCTTCGCACCGCCTTCTACGTCCGGTGGCTGGGATAAGGGCGCTCTCATCGCCTCCCTCAACCAGATGGCACTGCAGGGAGGCGCTAGCCCCTGGGTCCTCAACACAGGAGCTACATCTCATATGTCCCCCCACGACGGTATACTTCTTTCCCGTCTACCTCATTCGCTGTCCTTCACAGTCGGCAATGGGGCCTCCATTCCTATTTCTAGTCGTGGCACTTCCATTATTCCTATAGCTGATCATATTTTTCAACTCAATAATGTTCTTGTCGCTCCACATCTTGTTCGCAATTTGTTATCTGTTCGTCAGTTTACTCGCGACAATAACTGCTCCATTGAGTTTGATGCTTTTGGCTTCTCTGTTAAGGATCTGCAGACCAAGACCGAGATTCTGCGGTGCAATAGTGGCGGGGAGCTATACACCCTTCCACATTCCAGTCCGCCTGCTGCAGCCTGTCATGTCGTCGCCATCTCCTCATTGTGGCATTCACGTCTTGGTCATCCTGCACCTGCCGCCATAGCTACCCTTAATAAACTTTCAGCTATCTCTTGTAATAATGCAGCCCGTGGTATTTGTCACGCCTGTCAACTTGGCAAACACACACGGCTGCCTTTTACTAGTTCGTCTCGCTGCTCAGCACCTTTTCAACTAGTTCATTGTGATGTATGGACGTCTCCAGTTCTTAGCGTGTCTGGATTTAAATATTATCTTGTGCTTGTTGATGATTATAGTCATTATTGCTGGACGTTTCCTCTTTGGCATAAATCAGAGGTTCATGCTTGATTTTGTTAATTATGCTTACACCCAATTCAGCTTGCCTGTCCAGTGTTTTCACGCGGATAACGGCACTGAGTTCATCAATAATGCCACGTCTACCTTCCTTGCTAGCCGCAGCATTCTTCTTCGCACCTCTTGCCCTTACACGTCTGCTCAAAATGGGAAAGCTGAGCGGATGTTGCGCACGCTAAACAATATCGTTTGCACCCTCTTGATTCATGCCGCCATGCCTTCAGCTTACTGGGCCGAAGCCTTAGCCATCGCCGTTCTTCTACTCAATCGGCGACCGTCTTCCTCCATCAATAATGGTATTCCCTATCACTTCCTCTATCACAAGATGCCTGACTACTCCTTGCTTCGAGTCTTTGGTTGCCTATGCTACCCAAATCTTAGTGCCACGACACCTCATAAATTGGCTCCTCGCTCATCAGTTTGCGTGTTCATCGGGTATCCCTCTTCACAAAAGGGTTATCGTTGTCTCGATCTCTCCACTCGCAAAGTGATCGTCTCCCGTCACGTGATTTTTTATGAGACTCACTTTCCGTTTGCGGTTGCCAAACCACCTACGGAGTCACTTGATTTTTTATTACAGGATCGTCTTCTCGCACTTTTGTGCGGCTCCTCCTGCCTTGGCGCCCGGCCGGACTCTCTACTTGGTCGACCTTCGACGACGACGACACTTCAGAATCGGACCCGGCCATAATCTGGCACGGTCCGGTTCTTCAGGGTCTTGCTACCCCTACACCGGCTCCTCGGTAGCGTCCTCTGCGGTGACGTCACCCTGCTTTTTGCTTTCGAGGAGCCGCGCGTCTGCCGGCCCTTCACGCATCACGTCCGCGGGGTGTTCTTCCAAAGATAGCCGACGTCCTCGACCGTCATCTCGTGGCCCGAGCGCAGTCGCGCCCTCCTCCACCGGCGCCTCGGTAATCACGATTCGAGCCGGTCGCTGCTTTCCATCGCATACGCCCGTGTGACACGGCAGCAGATCGAACGCTCCCGCCTCCGTCGGACCGCTGACTTACTCCGCCACGCGCATGCCTCGCCGCTTCACCGCGCCAATTATTGCGGCGCCCTTGTCGATCCAAATTGGCGTGCGCAATGGTGGATTTAATACAAGGCACTTGTTGACAATGGCACTTGGCGGCTCGTACCACGGCCTCCTCGTGCCAACATTGTCTCCGGCAAGTGGATCTTCAAGCATAAGTATCACTCTGATGGCTCTCTTGCTCGTCACAAAGCTCGGTGGGTTGTTCGAGGATTTTCTCAGCAGCATGGCATCGACTACGAAGAGACTTTCAGTCCAGTTGTTAAGCCAGCAACGATTCGGGTTGTTCTCAGCATTGCTGCGTCTTGTGCCTGGCCAATTCATCAGTTGGATGTCAAGAACGCCTTTCTTCATGGTCATCTGAATGAGACTGTTTACTGCCAGCAGCCACCTGGATTCGTCGACCCGACTACACCTGACCATGTCTGCTTGTTACAGCAGTCTTTGTATGGGCTCATGCAGGCACCTTGGGCATGGCACCAGCAATTCGCTACCTTCATTCAGACCTTGGGCTTCGTCGCTTCAGTGTCAGATACTTCCCTCTTTGTGTTCGAGGGCACCAGTGTTGCTTACCTGTTGCTTTACGTCGACGATATTGTCCTCACAGCATCCTCGCCTGCTCTTCTTCGACATATTACTGAGCGCCTTAACTCAGAGTTCGCCATGATTGATCTCGGGGACCTTCATCACTTCCTCGGGATTTCTGTCACTCGTTCTGCTGACGGTCTTTTCCTGTCATAGCGGCAGTATGCAGTTGATCTTCTCCAGCGGGCTGGTATGATTGAGTGTCACTCTATAGCCACCCTAGTCGATGCACGCGCCAAACTGTCTGCTACAGATGGCTCACCAGTTGCCGATCCAACACAATACCGGAGTCTCGCCGGCGGTTTACAGTATCTCACATTGACTCGTCCCGACATTGCCTATGCAGTTCAGCAAGTCTGTCTCTTTATGCATGCTCCACGTGAGCCTCATCTGGCGCTGCTCAAGCGGATTTTGCGATACGTCAAGGGCACACTGTCTACAGGTCTTCACCTCGGTACCGGGTCTCTTGACACTCTCACCGCATACTCGGATGCTGATTGGGCTGGTCGTTCTGATTCTCGGCGGTCTACGTCTGGATACTGTGTCTTTCTTGGTGACAATCTGGTGTCTTGGTCCTCCAAACGGCAGACTATAGTTTCTCGTTCCAGCGCGGAAGCTGAATACCGTGCTGTCGCCCATGTTGTTGCCGAGACTTGTTGGCTTCGTCAGCTACTTCAGGAGCTTCACGCTCCTCTTTCTTCGGCGATGATTGTATACTGTGACAATGTCAGTGCAGTCTACATGACGGGTAACCCTGTTCATCATTGTTGCACGAAGCATATAGAGATTGACATTCATTTTGTTCGCGACAAGGTTGCTCTAGGACAGGTTCGAGTACTCCATGTCCCTTCATCCCACCAGTTCGCGGACATTATGACCAAAGGCTTGCCTGTACAGTTGTTTACTGATTTTAGGTCCAGTCTTTGCGTCTGAGATCATCCCGCTGCGACTGCGGGCGGGTATTAGACATATAAATAGATATGTATAGCGTGACTTATATTGTACTTCATATACTTGTACTCCAAGCCTTCTCGGCTATATATATGAAAGGCCACCCCCCCTTATTGGGTGTGCGGTGCATTGTCTCTCTACAAATCCCTTCGCACCGCTACTCATCTTTTTAATCTACACCCCACCAAAACGCTTCACAATCGAACTAAAAAATGCTATGCACTGAATTAGACCTTGACCCAAAAATAAAAGTTGTTATCCTAGTCAAGTACTGCAACTTTGCTTAAAGGTACACTGTCATGCAAATACTCTATGCTATAGTTCAACTTAGGTCAAACATACAACTTGAAAATGAAAGACTACACTATAACCATGACTTAGAGGCCAAATGGGTCCAAGTCATGAATACCAAAGTTGTTCCATGTGACATTCTAAACATGTTTAAGGTACTCCTAAGGTCTCACAACATTTTATACATTGGTCACATGTATTTAGCATATGTAAGCATTAGCATATATATATGAATCAACATTTCATGTGACAAAGTATAAGAATGAGATGAAATTTCATATGCTCATGTTCATGAATGATCAATGATGCTTGTGCTCATGCAATGCCAATGCCAAATGCATGCTTAACACCTAGGGTGTTACAGTGCCTTACAATACTTGACTCTTACACGGCCAGATATTGCTCATGCCGTTCAACAAGTTTTGTTAACCTACAAACTTAGGGCTGTCAAGTTCTCTCAGATTTTTCTTAGATCATATATCCCTTCAACTTTGATGTCAGTGTGCTTGTCAGTGTCTAGAGAACATGTGAAGTTAATTGTTCATTTCCAGCTTTATTTTGGTGGTTTTTATGACCTTTCTTCATGTGTTGATCCTGATTTTGAGCTTCTTGTTTGAAGGTTGAAGCCATCATAGGCAGGAATGATGAAGCAATAATGAACTTTGAGAAGGTAAATTGAAAATGTACAGAGCTAAAGCCCCTGATTCGGAAATCTTGTGAACAAGTAACAAGGTTATATAATCATTTGCTATATTCACTGTTTTTTTCTTTCCATTTTTTGCAGGCCCGGTTGATTGATCCAAACATTATGACATATATGGATGAGTATGCAATTCTTCTAAAGTCAAAATCTGACTACATCAAACTGAATAAGTTGGTACATGATATGCTGCATATTGATCCTGCAAGACCAGAGACATGTGTTGCTCTTGCAGCAATGTGGGAAAGAAAGGATGAAAGAAAAGCTTTGACATATGCAGAAAAGGTAAATACCTTGTGGGTTTGATGGAAACTCACGCACCTTCCATCTAATGCTCCTTACGATGTCTTCCTTTTCAGAGCCTCCGAGTTGATGACAGGCATATAACTGGCTATATTATGAAGGTAATACTGCAAGATATTGTCTATGCAACTGGATTTACATTATTATGGTAATTCCTCTTGCATTACAATTTGCTAAGCACAAGGATGGTTGCTGCTTATTTTCTCTGGGAAGTTCATGTTTAGATTTTGTCTGCTACCATCTTTGCTTTTTAGGATCGCCATCTTCCATTGCTAGGGCATATCATGATTTTCCCTCATTGGTTTGTCATTGTTTGCCTACTGTTCTTTCAAGGGCAATTTGCATCTTTCATTGAATCGACCAGATTTGGCAGTGACAGACTTCAGGGGGGCTCAAGAATTGAGAGCTGATCTTCGTTCTTATCAAGGTTGGTAGGCTTGGCGTATCTGATATTCAAAGTCTATTGTCATATTGTTAGTCTAAATAGAGGTATTCTCCAGGTTTGGTGCGTGCTTATCTAGCACTTTCTAAATGCAAAGAAGCATTATTCACTGCACGTGAGGCAATGAAGGTTATGCATCAGTCTGCAAAAGCTCTCAAGCTAGTTGGCGATGTTCATGCAATTAGTTCCAGTGGGAGGGAGAAGGTAATCTTATTTTGCCATGGGTCACTGATTCAAGGATTATATATTTTTTGGGGTTCTGGAAGCAATCATGCCGCTAGATAGCTAGTATGTTTAACCAGCTGAAGGTGGGCTGCTGTACTGCAGACAAAAAACTGCTGTCCTGCTGCAGGATAAGCCTGCAAAACTTATTAGCTAAGGGACACTACTAGTCTATCAAAAGTCTGGCCCCACTACACTTCTAGTCTAGTGGTCTCACTACAGCTTGACTCCTATTCAGCCTTTGAAAGTTGTCTGCAGTTGCAGACTTCTAGTCTAGTGTTCTCACCAAGCTGCAGCCTTGACTGAAGATTGGTCTGCATTTGCAGACTTCTGTGCAAGGCCAGCAGCATATTATTCAACAAAGGATCATCTTAAGACAAGTATATGTGCTTTGTAACCTGCTTCTTTTCTCAATTAAGTTACTGTGACTATTGAAATTGACTTATATATATCTTTTCAAATGGACATCTTGTGATTCAACTTTGTACACTATTATTGAATGATACTACCTGTTGGTTGATTGTGCTGATATAGATATCATTACATCACTTACAGGCAAGAAAGTTCTATGAATCAGCCATTCGTCTTGAACCTGGATTTCTTGGAGCTGCACTGGCCCTGGCTGATCTGCATGTTGTGGAAGGACGGAATAAGGAGGCTGTTATGCTACTGGAAAAATATCTAAGACAATGGGCAGATGATTCTCTACACATCAAGTTGGCTCAAGTACATGCGGCAACAAATATGCTTTCTGATGCACTTTCCCATTATCAATCTGCACTAAGGTGCGCATTTTCTTGGGTATTTAGTAGCAATTCTGCAGTAGCATTCATCATCTATTAACCTTTTCTTTGCTGTTGGTTTGAATCCTGAAGACGTGGTACATAAATAAAGTTTAGTATATGAATATGTAGGAGTAAATCTGATTATTGAGGTAAGGTTTTAGTGATAGTTCCTGGAGTTGGGTTGATGTACCATCAACAAAATGTAAATAAATAACTAAATTGTGGAAAGTTTTGTACTAATCATGTTTCTCCTTCAATTTTAAGTTGAAACTTGGCTCTTGATGTTAGTACCATGGTATTTCTTCCAACCACGGCCTGAGATAGCTATTATGACAGGATTGGGTGGGTTAGCTCAATAATTTGTATTTTCAACTAATATTTTGATTATTCTGCTGATTTTGGAAGAATTGAACTATTCTGAATTGACAATCAGATAATTCCCTTCCATCCTTATCCTGCAAGGCCCAAACTGCATGCTTACAGCTCAAAAGCTACCCAAGAAGCATCAGAGTTTTGTAATTGATGTATATGAAATAGCTTACTTTCTTTGTTCTGATAAGCTTTGTTCCTGTTTATTTTAATCCAACTTTGTGGTACAAATCAACTGGTCTGATATTGTCCCTGCGGTTACTGACTCCGTGCTTAGTATTCTGCCTTGTGCCTTCCTATTTCTTTGGTATTACCTTCTAGTTCATGAAAAGGGAACTCAATTGTGTTTCAGAATAAACCCACAAAATGAAGCTGCAAAGAATGGATTGGAGCGCTTGGAGAAACAAATGAAGGTTCGTGCAGTTCATAACTACTCCCTCCATTCCCTATGTATCTAGTTATACGTTATATCTAGATACATAGAAAAAACTGTATTTCGAAAAGCCAAAACGATTTATAATTTGGAACAGAGGGAGTACATCATACTGACTAGTTCACTAATTTTCAGCTCTTGTTTTGTTTCGGTCTACCTTATATACTCCCTTTGCTTTCCCAATCTTCCTCATTTACTCGTTTCTAAATATCCTACTGGTGCAAGATAACTAGCATTGCCTCATTGCCTGTACTTGTTTTTCATGTGCAGGGAGTGGACCCAGATGCTCCGGAAGAGGATGAAGAGAATGAGGAGGATGATATCGACGATCGGGATGAGTTTATTTGAAGCTAGAAGATGCTGGAAGCTGGCGCTGATTGATCATGACCATCTTTGTATAGCGGTGGTAGCACTGGTTGTGTTACTTGTAACTGAATAGCAGGTGTTCTAGCGTTGCTGTGCTCAGAATCCAGGTGTTTGTTGGGGGGAAATATGTCCATTAGCTTGTAAAATACCGACCGAAACGGTATATAACTTACTAAATTTTGCCTGTGATGTATGCTATTTCCTTTCAGTTTCGTTTAGCTAAAAGTCCAGAATGTACGGATAAGCGATATAGTCTGCAGAAGCTCTCACAGAAGTTCGAATGAACCTGCCTGTACAATAGGGATGACTGAACTGTGAACAAAATCTGCAGATAGTGTACACTGCAAGTACACACGACTAAATCTGCAAGTAATGAAAGGCTAATCAGGAACCAGTCAAAATACAATCGATGCTCGTGTGGTGTGGATGCTTTTATTAACAAAAAGAGATTATTTGGATTGGTACCGTTATAATTCTTAGAACTTTGAGATATACCATTAAAATTCAACTATTTTGAGATTTACCATTATAATTCAATGTTTCACTGAGTTTTGCCATTTTTTACGTCTTTCAGCTGCTTGGGCCCACTGACAGTCGTATGCGTACTGTTCGCTTTTCTGTATGAACGTTTTTGCCCCTGTCCCGAAGCTGAAAGAGCCCTGTGCTCGTGGCCCCATCTCTCAGTCTGTTCTCCTCCTCGCGCTCACTCTGTCTCTCACTCTCTCGTCCTCTCGATGTGGCGACGGCGGTGGAACCCTAACCCTAGCCGTCGGCGTCCTAGAGCCCGCGCCCGCGCCCACGCCCGAGTCAACTGCCGCCGCCGCCCAACTCCATTGCCGCCCGCGCTCGAGCTGTCCTCCCGGTTCCCGGACTATTGGAGCCTCTCCAGCGACCTCACGATGGTGTTCTAGTGAGCGCAATGGCTGACCCTGCGGACATGGAGTACGGCGAGGAGAGGTATGGATATCCAACCTTCAATCTCTTGAGTTTGAGTAGCGATGCCAGTAGGCCGAGGAATTGCGCCGACCCTAGTGTATTTTTTGCGACTTGTTTGTTTGCTGCTAGGGTTCGATTGTTCTCCTTAGAGATTAAAGTTGAAGGTTTCTGTACTACAGACAGTAATGGTAGGAAAGCTTACACGAAGGGTAGTGTGATTAAATGGGATGTGGAGGTAGGATCGTTCACTTTTGAGTTGCTGTTGCAAAGCTTGACCAATCACTTCAAATGGTCCCCTGCCCAGAGTCCTTGTGTGTGGTTCTTTGTCAAAAGGATGTGTGAAGACGTCAGACTAGTTAATAACTTCCAACTAAATGATGTGTTTGAAATGTATAAGGATTAGATGCATTGCCAACTTGTTGTAGGAGTTTTTGAAAGAAAAGTTGCAGATGCTGATGAGTTTGCTAGCCTAGAGCCTCTTTGTGTGTGAGAATCCTATTCCAGATCCCCATAGGCATGAGAATCCTATTCCATATCCTGCTGAGCAGCCTAATCCTCCTGTTAGCCCTGCTACCAAGCTTATTGTTGAGTCAGATGAAGGACCAGAGTATCCTTTAGAGCCTGAACTAGAGCCTGACAGGGAGCCAGACATGTTTGATAATAAGGAGTATGTGGGTGTCGATGATGAGGAAATGTACATGCCAATACCTCCTCATTAGTACACTAACAATGCACAGGCTGCTAACAGTTCTCACCCACAACTATGTGCCAATGCTGATGCAAATGATTCTAGTGCTGCTGAAGGAGGTGTTACTCTTGAGGCAGAGATTGATGATGTAGATCCACAGGAGGTCCATGTGATTCATGATCCAGAAAACCCCAAGATTGTGAAAGGAGGGCTCTTTCCTGATATTGTTGCATTCAGGAAGGCAATTAGGCATCATGCAGTGAAGACAGGCTTTGAGTTTGCTAATGTGCAAACTGACCAGACTAGGTTTATTGCCAAGTGTAAAGCAGAGGGATGTCCTTGGCGTATATATGCTTCTAGAAATTCTTATGGCAAGACAATAGAGGTAAATTTGTCATTACTGTTGGAGTTGTTTGTTTATTAAATTTGTTATTTATGCAACTAATGTCTTATTGTATTTGTTTGTGTAGATCAAAAGGCTACCTTTTGAACACAACCGTCCTACCACAAAACTCAGAGAAGGGAAGATGGCCACCCAAAGTTGGTGTGCAGATAGGTTGGCAGACTGGCTGAAGAAGAATCCAACCAAAGGTGCAACTGACTGCAGGGACAAATTGGAGGGTGACTATGGCATTAAGTTGAAATACTCCAAGGCATGGTCATGTATGAAGGTAGCTTTAGAGCAGATCCATGGTAAATATGAGGATAGTTTTCAGTTGTTTTTTAATTGGGCTGCTCAAATTGAGAAAGTATCCCCTGGTAGCTTAGTAGAGATAGAGTTAGAGAAGATTGGCACAAAAAACAGATTCAAGAGGATGTTTGTTGCTCTTAGACCATATGTGGATGGATTCTTATATGGTTGCAGACCTTTTATTGGGGTAGATGCTTCATGTTTGCATGGTAAATATAGGGGTCAGTTAGCTTCCGCTACTGGCGTGGATGGACATAATTGGTTGTACCTTATAGCTTATGCAATTTTCGAGTCAGAAACTGAAGATAATTAAAAATGGTTTCTGCAGCAGCTGCATAAGGTTGTAGGAGATGTTCTAAATCTGGTTATATGTACATATGCATGTAAAGGACTAGAGACTGCAGTGGGGCCTGTCTTCCCACAAGCTGAAAACAGGGAGTGCATGAGGCATTTGTATCAGAATTTTTTGAAGAAGTATTCTAGTGAGGTGTTCACTGATCACTTGTACCCTGCAGCTAGAAGCTACACACAAGGGCTGTTTCAGTGGCACATGAAGAAAATTTTTAAGTTTGCACCTGAATCCATTGAGTACCTTGAGGAGCACCACAACAGGATCTGTTACAGGTGTGCATTTTTAGAAAACAGCAAATGTGACTACTTGACAAATAATGTTTCAGAGAGCTTCAATGCACAAATAAAGAAGTTCAAAGGTCTGCTACTGCATGAATAAGTTGACAGAATCAGAGAGCTGATCATGGAGAAGAGATACACTAGGAAGATGCTTGCTAGGCAGTGGACAGATGGAATACTCCCAAATGTGATGAAGGAGCCCAACTTGATCAGCAATAACCTCAAAGTGGTCAAGGTATCAGTTAGTGATGTTGATATTGCAGAAGTGACCATCTTGGATGAGTGGAACAATTAGAAAAGACAAACAGTTGACTTGCAGAACCATAAATGCTCCTGCAGGGAGTGGCAGTTGACAGGGAAGCCCTGCAAACATGTTTTGGCATGGATCCTGTCCAACAGAGAGGTGAAAATTGAAGATTTTGTCCATGAGTATTACTCAGTGGCTAGGTTTAAGGCAACCTATGAGGACAGAATTGAACATATACCAGATAGGTCACAATGGCCTGTTGTGGAACTTAGATTCAAAGTGTATCCACCGTTGCTAGACAGAGGAGTAGGAAGACCAAAGGTTCAAAGGCAAAGAGGTTGCTTGGAGAAAAGGGCATCCAAAAAGAAGGTCAAATGTAGGAGATGTGGATATTTTGCCACTATTCAAAAACTTGCAAACAGGCAGAGATTGGAGAAGATGGTGAGAGAGCTCCACCAAGGAACAAGGCTAACAAAAGGTATGTTTCTGTGCACTAAATCTGTCTCATTGTTTTTGACTTCACAATATGTAATGTCACCTTTAAAATGTAGGAAAGAAACTCCAATAGATGCAGCTGGTCCCTCCCAAGCCAAGAAACAGAAAGTTCAGAAGAAAAAGTAGAAGGTCACACCAAAGAAGAAGACACCAATCAAGAAGAAGCTCAAGAAGGCTACAGCCAACCCACCTACTACTGTTGTTAGTAGCCTTAGGAGGCTAGTCTATGAAGACTAGAGCTTGTCAGCAGCTTATGATATGCTTTTGTAATAAAAAGAGAACTTGTATGCTGCTACTGGTATGCTTTTGTAAGATCAGCAGTTGAACCTTGTTGTTTGTGTAATATTGTAGTTGGAACCTGTAAAGTCTGCTACTGGTATGCTACTGGTATCTGCTACTGGTATGCTGCTACTTCACAATATGTATGCTGTTATGTTGATTTAAGTGGTTGTGAACTTGTAAAGTCTTGGATTCCTATTGTGTTGTAGTTAGAATGCTTTGATGATGCTATTTGTCTTCACCGTCTATACAGGACCCAAATTTGTGGGAGCACTGCGCTTGGTGCTGAGTCCTGTGTTGAACAAAGCGTTTGGTTCTTTTTCTGGCATTCCTCTTTGCCACAGGTCACTTGCAGCAGCAAGGTTCAAGCAGATTATTATCTGCTGAACCGGGAGACAACAGTCGAATGACATGCTAGACGTGCAAACACAGGCTTGGAAGATCATGCATAGTGCAGTGTATTAATCAGGACCAAATTGTTCCAGCGTCTACAGCATAAGTAGAGTATGACACACAACTACTACCGGACGTCTAGACCACAACGGTATTAAGCTACCACAGATTTCTAACTCAGTAGACATCCCAAACACTCTGAGTTGCAGATTTGTTCAGAAGCAAACAGATTCAAGAAGGTTTCGACCTCATCAGTACACAAAAGAAATAGGGAGCCACAGCTCCAATACAACCAGCCCACATCTGCTCCGGTCTTGAGAGCTCCTCCAGCTTCTCCACCAAACACTTGTGCACCTCTAAATTCTCATGGAGCACAGCAGACCCTAGCCCTTCAGCACAACAAAACTAAAACTAAAGAGCGAATTGGAAGCTGTAAAATCATCATATAAAGAGAACCACAACCAGTTAGAATACAATATGTCAATTGATTCAACAGAACACATTTCATTTCAATTCAATTCTAGGATAACATACATACACACAGTCACACATTAGCTAACCCACACTTACATTAGCTGACTAACACACATTCTAGCTGCTCACTTCCACATAACAGCAACAAC